ATCTGCAGATGTTTATTTTATTTTATTTTGGGTTTTTTTCAGTGAAAAACCACCTGCTGAGTCAATTGTACAATCTGGAACAAAGTCAGGGCTCATTTGCTCAGCTAAATGGAMCGAGGTCACGATTACTGTGCGGTCCTGGTAGGATATGTTCACACATCTGAGGTGAGTTTTGTGTCAATTCTTTACACAGAGCTTTCATGTCAGTGCAGCGGTGCAGGGCCTTTCTGTGTGGAGTTTARATGTTCTCCCTGTGRYTYTYGGGGTTTTGATCCTGCACCTTTGTGATAGTAAAGGCTATTGACAACACATAAAATGCAACAAAGCATGTTCTTCCCGGCAGGTTACCCAGATGATCGTAAAAAAAAAATCACGTATCATAAAACTGGATAGCTAGTGCTTATCCTTACCCATGTGTCGATGACAAACTCAAACGCAGAAACTGGTTTTGAAGCAGGATCTCAGAGCTGGCACGCCTTTGTTGTGACAGGATGCACGAGCACAACACAACCAGATGATGACACCAGGGGAGTTGGAAAAAGAGCAAGAGCCAGGTCTGGCCTTTATTCATGAATGAGTGTTCAAAAGAGTTTAAAAAAAACACTGAGCAAGCCAATTTGAACTTTATTTGTGCATAAACRGGTGGGAAAATAGTGATAGGTAATTTACATATTGTAAAACCTTTAATCTCTGCTTTGGCCTTTGTAGTAAACCTTGATTTATTTTATAGAATATTAAGAAGGAAGAAATGAAGAGGAGGTTTAAAACAGCTCCAGAGGCAATCTGACCTCCCCTCAGGCAGTATGGTCAAAATTTGATCTGCATTGTGAACTTTTTTTTTTTTTTCAGAAAATGGGGAAGAAAATGAAGAAAAAGAAGCAGCTCAGGGATGAGCGTAAATTTTTAATCAGTGCTGTTTCCTCCYGAGAGACAATTATGTATAAAGTAGTTTTAGGCGGCTGGGCATTGAGCAGAGTTCAGGCCTAATCACTATTGTACTTAAGCACCTAATAATTGCCAAAAGTCATTATGATGTGGAAAACTCAGAGTCACAGTGTTGCCTTGTAGCTGTGCTTTTTCCCCGGGATCTGTTCTCTAATGTCCACCGGCTTCAAAACAGTTTAAAAAGCACATTATYTTACAAATTTATGGGTTATGAACATGAATTTAAGTAAATGGTTAAAAGCTAAAAGGAAAACAAAACAGAGCAAGTTCTCAGCAGCTGATTTAAAAGAGAACAATGTTGGAAGGCACTGAAGAAGTCTTAAAATATGTGGAAATATTTCTATAAGGGAAGTATTTTGAAKACTATAAAAGTTACAGAAAAACAGAGAACATTGAGCTGCAAAATGTGGGGAATTTTTACATTTTTATAATAGGGAAAACAAGTCTAATTGCTGAATCATTTGCACAGTTTATCATTTTTTCCCTTTAAATATTCATATCACACAGTAGATAYTTAGCAAAACACCTGACTAAATTAATCTGCCCATGCTGTGTCTTTACCAGCAGTATTGAAAAAGCCAATTCAGTTATTTTTGAATTTTTGTGCAGGAACAGAAAAACTCACAATTTTTTTCTTCTRTCTTGCCTTAGTTTTATTTCTGTTTGTTATTTTGTTCTCACACTTTATTTGTTTCGTCTGTTTATTCCAGCCTGATTACTTCTGTGATGAAATCTTAAACCTTTACAAGTGTTTTGTAAATCGCATGCTTTTGTTTATACYGAGCCCACGAGGGGACACGAGGGATTTTTTTWATGTCTGCGTTTCCTCGCAAAAAACTTTTATCACTCTTGTACCTGCAGTTTATTACCAAATAATAAATGTATAATGAGCATGTGAATTTGTTTATTATAAACCAGCAGGCACAACAGTAATAAACAAARGTCGCCTCGCGGGTTCCGTACTTTCTCGATAACCGGATATTTGTAAATAAAAGTCTGATTTAATTCAGTTCACAAAACAAACTTTTGCGTGGGAACGCCAAACAATAATGCAAGGGAGTGCAAATGTTTGCGTGGGAACACAAAAAGTTTTGCGAGGTAATGCAAAAGAAAAAGAATCCCCCATGTTCCCTTGCAGACTCTGTCTGTTTATAGAATGTGAAGAAAATGAACTTTTAAACCTGCTGTTTAGGGACAAATCTAACTCTTCTCTATTGCTGGTGGTGTTGAAAGAACATGAGCAATTTGTTTGCATATACATATACACTGCTCAAAAAATAAAGGGAACACTGCTGATCAAAAAATAAAGGGGACACTTTAACAACGCACGCTAAGTCCCGATCTTAGTCAATGAAATATTCGCATTGAGTACTTTGTTCTGTACAGAGTTGAACGTGCTTCACAAAAGGTTGATTTACTTGGACTTAGCGTGCATTGTTTAAGTG